GGGATTCAGCGCTGCCCTGTTTTTCGCTTGGTCCGGCTACTGTTGAGCAATTGAAACAAAGATTTCACTTAGGTGTTAGTGATAGTGAAGTTGATAATTTTGTTGAAACTTATTTGATTCATGGTAGTATTGGCAGTCGTTATACTTGGTTTTATGATGAGTTCCAAAGGCAAACTCAAGGTATTCTTCCATAGTCGAACTTATTCCTTCATTCCAACCAACTTTCTTATTTATTCTTTTTTTCTAATGGTTGTAACCGTTTTCATTATTATCGGGTTTATACAAGACATTATAATTTTAATACAGATATTAAGTCAATTTTCTCTCGCTCAGCCACGTTCCGTTAAACTCTGTTTTTCAAGAATTTGTTTTGAGTTTACCGCTCATATAAAGTAGCTTGTTGAAATAAAACTAACAAAGAAACTGAATGTTTTTTTCTATTGTGTTAAGTAGTATATATTTTCGGCTTGCTCAGGTTGTTTTTCAAAAAACAGGTTGCGGCTTTTCGAGTCAAAAATACAAGGGCGCAGAGCGCGACCGACGCAGGACTCGAACCTGCAACCTTCGGTACCGAAAACCGATGCGCTAACCATTGCGCCAGCCGGCCTTATATGTTTCCTTATTGAACTTTTGAGAAATATAATCACCATTTTTTGATCTAGAAAGTCTGAGTAAGTACAAACGAGAAGTCTTTTTTATTTTGTTCTACCAACAAATACTATTTTTTTTTAGTATTTTCTTTTCTCAACAATAAAGGATTTTGAAAATTTTCTTTTAATGGCAGCTTTTTCAAGTTAAAAATGTAACTAGCTAAACAATTGGTTCTGTTCGACACATCAATATTGGTTATCTTTACCTACTATTGAAGTTTATAACGCATGATACAAATCTGTTCGTGATTTTCTCATTGAATTTAATAGGTTTTCTAGCTGATTTTCCTTGATGTGCACAAATTTTTCCTTAAATCACACATTACAGCCTTATTCTGTACTATATTTGACCCTAAAGTTTTATGTTTCTTTCACTTAACCCGTCGTTTCGTGGATAATCCAATCCATTCAAAACGTCTAATACAAAGAAGGAAAAATATATTTCTTCATTAATAATTGGTTTTGAAAACTTTCAAGGAAATTAAAAGTCATTGCATGAAATACGAGAAAATACATCTCAGCCCATCAGACAAGCCTGTCTGAAGAAGACGTAATAAAAGAGTTTCCCTATGTAATAAAAGATGTATTTGAAAATACAAAGCGGAGTCAATTTTTTCGGCACGAACAGAAAAAAACCTGATTCCAGAGTTAGGTCTTTTAATATATATATTTGGGAAAAAAAAAATGAGAACATTGAAGCTAGGCCGCCTGCTTTACTAAAGGTTAAATTTCGAGACAAAATAATTCGTGTTCTGTTTTTGAAACTAGTTATAAAAGAAAATATATGATATTTAAGAAACGTATATACCAAGTCAAATAAATAAGTTATAGACAAGCTGTCGTCGGCTGAGTCAAGCTAAATCCATCTGATATATCAAATACATTTCTTTGGGGTAGCTGCAAGATAGGACATGGTGTAAGCTGACCGCTATTTCCTGGTTCCTGATAATATTACAAGAGAGAGCAAATAATTTACGTATATTAGCTCTGATTTTATTTGCTCTAATCTATATTAATGCCGATAAGATTTGCAAATAAAGCATGCAATCTGGTGGAATTATTTACTATCACGTGAATACTTTAATAGTTTTTTGTGATGGGGAACGAGCTTAAATAAGCTTAACTAGGAAAACGCAGTTGAGTTTAGAGTTTCAAATTTTAATTGCTCAAAATGCTCACAACTATGGAGAAAATAAAACCATGCATAGACCAAACTTTTATCGCATACGATCTGGGGGCCCATAACAGAGTGTATCTGAATAAATATCAACTTTTATGCAAAAGCAGTGAACAAACTTGCTCGCCAATGGTTCAATTCATAAACTGCCCATTCAGAGTTCTTTGAGAGTCTCTTTTGCATGCATATATAATCTAGAGGGCATATTTGAAGCCTTTAATTTCTGATCTAGTGATCTGATACGTACCTTTTAACAATAACGTCTGAGCATTTATAACAATGAGAGCATTTAAAAACTAATTTAAGATATATGTATCTATGATATCTAGCCAAATATAAATACTTTAATTCCTTCACGCTATTTCTTATCGCTTAACCTACCACTAGTCAACAAAAAAAACTGTATTTGCATCTCCATTCCCATTTCTAATCTGAAGATGAAAACTTTCAATAACTCATTGCGTTTAATTTGCTGGGCTTTCGCTGTTTTTTCTTTAGTTGAAGCCAAATCAAGCCCTAGAGTGATCTTGAACAATAATGGTTTAGTAGTTGGTAAATCGTGTCTCAATTATACTTTAGACTGGGATTTTGGTTGTGGTTTAGCATTGGCAACAAATAGCATGCATGGTAGTAAGGCTAATTACGATTGTCTTTGCGCTAACCAACCCTTCATAGGGACATTTTCTACGTGTGCGTACGATAACTCTCAGAGTGATTATGAATTAAAAACTGCACTCAACTTCTTTGTGACCACTTGCCAAGATAAATCGGTCAGTACCCCTATGGATAAAGATATTCTGAAGAAAAGCTATGAGAATGCGACCGAGTATATGATTGACTATACGGATGTTCAGCTAATGGGTGTGGGTGATAATATTATGAGATCTCCGGTGAACGTGCCTATTACAGTGAACTACACTTACTATCATTTATTTTATGATATGCAAAACGAGTTTCGTTATCAAGTAGACTCAGGAACTTATTATGGTCTTGCTTTGGTTGTGTACTTTCTTCTTATTATTTTTATTGGAGTTGTCACTAATTATCTAAAAATTACGGTTATCCCATTTCTAATCAACTCGACGGGGAAAAAAACTAATCTAATTCGTCATTATGTTACCTTGCCTCCAGCATTTAGAAAACGACACAGCAAGCCAGGAAATGTGGGACCATTTATTTGGCTTATTCCTACCCGGGTTCATTCCGTTGTTATTGCTATATACCTGATTTTGAACATCATTTTTACCTGCGTTGACTATCGGGTTGTCAAGCCCAATGCTTTTTTCTACTATCAAACAACATACATGCAAATATGTAGAATGCTTGCCGACAGGACTGGTATTATCTGTTTTACTCAAATTCCATTATTGTTTCTTTTTGGAGGTAGGAATAACTTTTTAATGTGGGTTACAGGCTGGTCATTTGATACTTTTAATGCTTATCATCGCTGGATTGCAAGGGCTGCTATGTTTCATGCATTTGTGCATTCTATCGGTTATTCTATGTGGTGTTCGCGTAAGGGATCCTATAATAGTAATTTGCATGATGTCTATTTTCTCGCTGGGGTTATTGCGACAGTTTTCTGTGGAGCCTTATGGATCCAATCTTTCGCAATTTTCCGACGACATACGTACGAGCTTTTCTTAGTTGTACATATTTTGCTTGCTATTGGATTTTTGGTTACCATATGGTATCACTGCGTTGATTTAGGTTGGATGGGTTATGTGTACTGCTCGATTGCGATTTGGGCCTTCGATAGACTTGCTCGACTGGTGAGAATTGCCTGGGGTGGATTAATTATAAAATCTAAGTTTCAAATGTATTCAAATGGGACTTTCCGTGTTGATCTTCCGGTTCAATCCAGATGGGGATACTACCCTGGATGTCATATTTACCTCTATGTGCTCAATTCGAAAAAGTTTTGGCAGTCTCACCCCTTCACAGTTTTTAAAACACCCGAAAATGAATCAAATGGCACTATTTCCTTAGTAGTGAAGCCAATGAAAGGCATCACTGCTGATATTGCCACCTTTCTGTCTTCCCAGCCTGAAAATAAAGGTGAGATTAAAACTATGGTTGAAGGACCCTATGGATACAGTCACCCTATTAATAGATACCAAACTGCTGTTTTCATATCTGGAGGAATTGGTGTGACTACTAACTATCCTTATGCTGCAGACTTGATTAAATCTAATAATCACACTCAAAAAATTATATTCATTTGGATCATTCATGATGATCAACCGTTAGAATGGTTTAAAGAAGAACTTGATCATCTCTCCTCATCAAAAAATGTTGAAATCCGAATATTCATAACCTCCAGACATACAAAATCAACTGACCAAAGTGACTCTTCTTCATTAAGAAGTTTTTCAAAGCTTAAAGAAAGCAGCTATTCGAGAATAGTTAGAGGTTCGAGGCCTCATATTAACGAAGAATTGCTTGACATAGTGAGTGCTTCCATGGGAACAATTGGCGTGATAGCATGTGGACCTCCCAGTCTCAATGACACTGTTCGACTCGGTGTGATTGAAGCTTTAGATTCATCATCCAATAGAATTGACTATTTTGAAGAAGCTTTCTCTTGGTAATAGATTACAAAAAACATCATCATGATTCTGATCATCCACACATAAACTTGATTCAAATTTAAAGGCCTCACTCTGTCTAATACCACCTCTTGGCAGAAAAATTTAATGAAGCAGCCTCGATTGTTTTTTATCTTTTTCAGTCATGTATGATTAAACTTTAAAAATTATATTTGATGAAAGCATGAAGCACAGATGCCTTGCCCGTAACAGTTTTCGAAATATTAATACCGTGAGACAGGCGAAAAAATTTTATGGAAGTTATATCGAACTTAACAATCAAAGAGACAGTGGGTTTGCAAGTTATATCGACTTAAATGGGTCTCAGCAAAGCTAATCCCTGGACGAGTTAGCCAATATGAGTGAAAAGGATATGGTATGTATAATATAAACGGATAGATTATGAATACACAATATTAATACCCTGAAAATCTCATAAATTATCAAGTAGGCCAAACAAGTAGATAATCAGTGTTTTTTTTTTGAAAAACATTATTGTTTTGCTTATTATTGAACTTTGGCTTAATACTAGCTGCTTGATTTGCATGTTAATAAACAAGCTCCATATTGCGAAGGCCAAAAAAGAGCCCAACGGGGGGGTCGAACCCCCAACCTTGTGATCACCGAGAATCTCATTGGGGCATTAAGAGTCACACGCTCTACCGATTGAGCTAGCTAGGCTTTAATTTGACAGTGCACGACCTAATTAGTACACGAACCTACCGTGGTTGGTACCGTAATCCGGATGTGTTAAACATAGCGCTAGAAGGCCCCAAAATACTTTTAAGATTCATTTTCCAGTTGTTTTATTTGAAGATAAATAGATTTCTACCCACGACCTGTTAGAAATATTTAATTTTCAGAAAATGGTTTATATAACAAACATTACCTTATGGTATTAATCAAAAATGCGGGAGCATAGCGTTATGTTATGGTACTTTATTCGATTGCAGCAGGATTTATTAGAGATGTACGAAACCCCTGGAGGTGACGGTTCACAAGTGTTTCAAGAGATCACACAATCCATGGCATTTGGTTTTAAAAAAAATTTATCTTCCTGTAGATAATATTATCAAGTTCTGACGATATTATGATTAAAAACAGGTATATGGCTGGGGTTGAGTCGCTCTTTTGACATACTTCAGAAAACTAAAATCACATAATGAATTTTATCAATTTTGGTAATATATTTGAGGCGTAAGATTTGTAACTCCTAAAATGGTTTTATAAGCAAAGTTTTTTAGCGCGCTCAAATTTCTGAAAAAGATAAAAAATCATCATTTGGGAAATCAAAAAGAGAGGGCAGGTATTAAGTCAAAGTTAAGCATAGAATATTCTAATGGGAAGATCCAAGGTTTTCAATAATCTCATTGTTTATGCATTTCCATGTTTTCTTTCAAAGATATTCGAATTTACAGACTAACTTTGTATTGTCATATTTTTAATATCTTGTTTTTCCGATATCATACTTTTTATGATTCATCAACTATCATATACACCGCAATTACCATATATATTTAAATACACATAAGTCTTATAGTTCAATTAAGGCAGGCTCATCATCGGGTTTTCTAACTTTAGGTTGGGGTTCAATTACAGTTTTGTTTTCTCGTGAACTCTGCGGTTGAGCATTGTTATAACAAGGTGCAGAAGGCTTAGAGTAAGAGAATTGGCCCGCCGGATCAGTGTTCGTATAATAGGGTGTTGATCTATCAAAAGAGTCATCGCCAGTATTTTGAGTTAGAACAGGTGCAGAGGGAGCTGATGCATATAAATCATGATCAGATGAAGGGAAACTAGGTGCTGAAGGATTATAGTAATTGCTATATGGCGCTTGATTAGGCCCTCCTCCTAGTTGAGGCGCATAAGCAGGCAGCCCATTAGAAATTGTGTGTTTTCCATACGTCATTGAAAGACTGTCCTCAAGCAGTTTGTCATAGTACCTTACAACAGTTGATAGCTTCGCGTGCATATTAACCAACTTATCATATTTTGAAACATTTATTCCAAGTGTTCTAGCTAGCTTAGGCCTCAAATTGCCAATATTGTCATAAAGTTCCTGAATTTTTCCTTCTTGGAGAATGGACCCTGGTGGAGCCGTTTCCAATCTGTTGATAAGGGTTGAAAAAAGATGTATATTCTCTTCTTCAACCGGTAAAATTTCATCATGTTTTTTAGTAAGTGCGGGTACATTCTCATTCCCTTGATGATAGTTATTATAGTCATTTACAAGGTGAGAAACTGCGCCACTTGAATTTCCTCTGTATATATTAGGCATGGCAGACGCAGTCAAAGATGGGCTGCTGTAGAGCCCTTCAGAAGCGGAGGAAGAAGCAAACTCAGTAGCTCCGCCCTTGTTGGGTTTCCCCATATCTCTTAAACTAGCTTCAATGGCAGCCTTCATATCTTCATCATCGTCAGTTGTCGCATTACTTGATGATGATAGGTTGGGTTGCGTAAAACTGGGAATTGGTGCAGCTGTAATGTGTTTTGAGACCCTTAATCCAGCCTCTTTTAGACTCAATTCAATTGCGCGTTTAAGCTCATCGTCCTCTTCAGCGACATTATGTCCATCAGATGTTGTAGCTGACGCTAGGTTAGGAGCAGATATGGTTGTGAATGTAGTTGTGCTCTTAGAGTCTTCAGTTCTCTTCAACTTCTTATAGCATGTGTCACACACTCTCACGGGTACGTTGATACCAAGTCGGGGTAAAGGTAAAGTGTTCAAACTACAGTTGTTGCAAAAGACACCACCACAGTTTCTACAATGGTGTTTTCTTACCACAAACGAAAATTGAATGTTACATTTTAAACAGTTCTCTGAATCTGTCCATTCAGGAGGTGCAGATGAGTCAATAAAGCTCTGACTGATAACAGTAGGACTAGGAAAAGGTTGACCCTCTTCCTTTAGATTTTTATAGACAGTATCGACGTAACTTAATTGAAGCTGGCTCTTGAACGCAATGGCCCAATTTTGAATGAGCTCCAAAGCAAGTTTTTTAACTTCACCATTAGGGCTTCCCGAAATAGGTATTATTATGTTGACTAGGGTATCCATGAATTCTCTAGAAGCAATCTCAATCAAAAAATGAGTGCCACCATTTTTAACACAAGTATCCAATAAATTCAACGTGGCTAACTGAACATTCGGGTTAGTATGCAGCAATCTTCTTTTCAAGGATCGCATAGCATCTTTGGGCGGGACTGTTTTACTGCGAATAACATCACTAATTTCCAAATTTAAGGCCAAATTCTGTTCACCAGAAGGTAGGGATTCAGACGTAGCTTCCGCGATTTGCTGATCAATCTGACTTGTATTAGAAAACCAAGACATTACAATTCTATTTCCTGTGTAATTTTTGATATCTTCTTTGTATGGGAAGACAATGATAATAGATTAGTTGAGTTTAGTGGCGAGTAGCGTATACCTCCAGCCAACTAGCCGTTAGCATGACATAATCATGATGTGGATGCCTTCAAACGAAACCCAATCGTGCATGGTATTGATAATCACCATGCCTTGTTGAGAACACGTAGAATTGAAGGATTAAAGCATTTCATATATTTTTATTTATTAGTAACTCTATAATCTATAGTAAATAAAGCTGCTCGATCTATCAAAAGGAAAACAATTAATATCAACAAGTAGGTAAAGTTATACCAAAGAAATAGTTTCAATGTCACACATAAGTAATTTATCCCTTTCTAATGTTGTTGTTCCAAGCTTGAACAAAATCTCTCTTACCTTGAATGTTCAAAGAATCACCAACCTTCCTAATTCGGCCAACTCTAGTGAGAGATTCAGCTATAGTTCCCATAATGTCCTTAGTTGAGGCCGGATCAACAGCATCTGCCACGCGGAAACGCACGCTCCAACCACTTGATTGAGAAATCAAGGTCCAAGCCCAAGTAAATAAATGGGTGGGAATAGGCGTCGTTATATTTGGCGGATTATATTTGATGGCAACAGGGTATATTTTGGATTGACCTGGAATGGCCAGTGGTTCATTTGAAGGCAGTGGAACAAAAGGTAAAAGTGCCCTACCACTTGATGTAGTACCTTCCATAAAAACAACTATGACTTTCTTAACTCTAGAGGCTTTCGCCATAATTTCTTCAAGTTTGTAGCTTCCCTTGTGTGAGTTGGACTCGGGCAATGAAACAGCAGCTGCCATGGTATCAAAAAGCCCCAAGGGGGTGAAAACAGTACCAGTGGAGGTCACTTGCGGGATAACAAAAATGGAATCATACATGGTTGAATAAATCAGAGGATCTAGAGGTGATGTAAAGGTTGAAATAATAACATCTCCAGATTTAGGTAATTTAGCATTAAATTTTTGATTAGATGTTGACTTACGAATCCTCTCGACACCAATTTCCCACCACCAAACACCGGTCGCATACAAGCAAGCTGATAGTGATAATCGTCTACAGACAGGATTCCATTGAAATATTAGGATATGTAGCAGTAAGAAAACCAATAACACGGGGATACGGACAATTCCTAAGATCAAACTAATGGGGGTATCGATTTTAGCTCCCAGTGTACCAGACGAGAGGCCGTAAGACTTGGATTTGGCATGAGGCAAATAAGGCGCAATACCCGTACCATTATCGCGCCATTTAGAAAACTTCTCCATTTTTGGGATTTATATAACGTAGTAAGGCACTGAAATAGAATAGTGTTGCGAGAACAGGCTCGAGAGTCTCAACTCCACGAATCTTTAGGGTAAAAATTGGTACAAGCAAAACCAATGGGACAATTGGACAGGGCTCCTAAATATATCAAGTATGGGGAACTCACGCCTAAAAATGAAAAAAAGAATGCCCGTATCTTGAAAAAATAAAATAAGCGTTAAGTAAATACTTTCAGCAAAATGGCCATTTTTAAGTCTAATTCCTTAAAGTACTCGAATGTTTACCGCCTAGAAATAAATTCCCAAATAACTGAAAAAATATTCTAGAAGATGGTTTGTTATATATCAAAAATTGAAACAAACAAGAAAATCCGAAATAGTTTAGTGGCTAGAATTTGCGCCTGTCAGAACTTAAAGTTCAGCACGCGTGGGACCGGGGTTCAATTCCCCGTTTCGGAGAGAAAAATTTTTAATGTTAACACGCTTAGCATTTGGCTGTGATGTACCCAAAAGATTTCAGACGTTAGACTGCCTAATTTTCTTGAGGATAGATCTTTATTCTGAGCTTCAATTTTTTAATGAAACGTTCACTTCTTTTTTATATATTTATACGTATGAGTTTATTAGGATTTATCCGTTTGGTGGTTTCAAAAAAAATTCTTGTTGTTCCTTTGAAGTCTGTCAAAATGGTTTTCATTTACCATCCTTATACATAGAAAAAATATGCTGTTAATATGTAGCACACAGTATGTCCGAACCTTTGTTTCTTTGATGGTAAGATTAGAGAATCTCCCATTATCAATACTTAATGGAAGTTTTGTTAGATCATATTGTATAGGGTGAGACAATTTTGCATTTGCTATATCCTGGTTATAAAACACTAGCTATTTACAAAGAACACAAGCATTAAACAAGATAAATTTACAAGAGGTGTTTTAGCCGGGATCAATAAAAACAACAAGGGAGTATAGAAGAGGTGGTGTAAAGAAGGATGCGCAAGAAAGTTAAGTTTTTCCACCTTTCGTACTCTACAGACAAAAACAG